GACAAAAGACACTTGGTGTAGTCGACCGGCCAAAGCTTCCTGCAGAATTTGTTTTGACAGCAGCAGATGGCAAAACAAGGTATGGCAATGCATTTCAAGCAAAAGCCAAAGGCTAATTGTGAATATGTGAACCCACCAGGCCAAGGGTCAGTCTGTGAATTTGTGAACCAACAAGACCGTTCTGACATTAGTACGGGATCAGATTAACTACCTGTCTTTTATATTATATAAACTCTGATTTGCATTATAATTCAAGTTGAACATTGAGTTATTCACGTACTATTATTCACTGAGGTTATCTCACTATGTATTTTGTCTGATTCCGTAGGTCCTGCGTTTGGAGGTTAGCCTCAACTTTTCATGCTCGTCTTCCTTGTTAGCCTCTGTGTGCCCAAGCATTTGGGTGAAGCCTACCCGTTTGGTGAAGTTTTGGCTTAGATTCTGATTGTCTATAATATGTTGTAACTTCTAATGTTTTTTTTTTTCTATTATACGCCCAAACACGGGCGGGGTTGTATATGTGTATGTAACTATTATTATCTGTCTATTTGTGATCCTGGCATGATAGTGGTCGCTCAATGGATGTAGCTCTTTCCTTGCGTGTTATTATATAAAATTTATGCTTCCACTCAGGCCCCATATGTTATATATAACAGGTTAAGTGTCCGTTTTTGAAGTGGTCATGCCCAAACTTCTAGGGGCGGGTTTGGGGCGTGACAGGTGGTATCAAAGCACGAGTTGCTATCTCACACACGGATCCATTGAGCTTTAGGATGTCTAGAAAAGACTTAGGCATCATTCCTTAGTGCATATGAAAGGAATTGATAGCAACGATACTGGTATATGTAATGACGCTAACCGCAATGGTTGTTATTCATGTCTGTTATACGTTTCTTGTATATATTGTGATTGATTGCTCTGCAGAACAGGGTAAGACCTGCAGATGGGATTAAATCAAGCAAGTTGCGCAGCGGAAGCGTGGTGAGGATTCGAGCTAGTCGGTAAGACAATGTATATACAAATGATTAGATGAAATGTGAGCTATCATGGGAATAATGATAATATGAATGGGCTTTTAGCATCTGCTTAAGTGACTTGATTAAATTCTAAGTACCGGATATTCCTAAGATCAAAGGAAATGTTATATGTATGATACTCTTAATTATGTTTTTCTTGCCATAACCCTGTCGAGATTCGTGATTTTAAGAATTTATTGTGTTTGAATATTTTCATAAGATGTGTTTTGTGTAAGGATTGAAATCGTGTTAAGTACAACTGATTCTAAGAAAAAGTCAGGCATGTAGTGACCCCCCTAAAGTTGTGAAAAGGATCAAGTAATTGTGACCTTGCTTCTTGCTAATGATTTAAATAAATAAGTTATATTGACAAGTTAGTTAATGATCTTGAAAGAGTATGTAAGTAATATGATTTCGTGAATTAAGGAAGGAGTAGTGTTTGTGTGTAACTGGAATTTGATTATGGGAATCCGTAACCATAATTCTGTCTGTACTCTGCCCTCTGTAATTTGTAATCAGAAACCTGAAATCTGAAATTTGTAATATGTTTTGTTTACGTTACGTCTGTAATCTGTAATCGGGATTTCTTATAAGAAATGGCCGAAGAACATGAAGAGCCCCACTTATCTTATAGGTTTGCATATATAACACCTATAAAGGGGTAGTTAAGGACTACCGTGAAACCAAATTAAATGAGTGGGATCTGATAATTTGCTGCAAGAACGAAAACCCTCCCTATGGGTATTAATGATTGAGAAATCATCTCTGTAATATATTTCTGTGAAGATATGTAAAGGTTGGATATTGCAATTTGATCCTTTATTGCCTATTGGAAGACCATAATGTAAATTATTCTGTATGACACTGGGCATTTCGACAGAAACAAATAGTTATGAGGGGATAATCCATAATGATGAAGGGCTAGCGATACGTACGGGGTATCCACTTCCTCTTGCATGTTATACAAATTTGTACAATACGCACTACATGATTAAAGCACTTTATCGATATACTGTTGAATTTCTAGATACTATGGAACCCTAATAGATGTGATTATGATATATTTACTGGAATTATGACTCTATAAATGGACTTAACCAGACTTACGTATGTGGAATATTGAAATGATTAAAGGAGAGGCCAAATTAAGAAGAATGTTTCTAAGAGAAGACGTTACGCCTTAAAGTTATGACTGATTAACTGACCGTGATTTTGAATTTGATTCTGGTTTTATTTTCGGATGGCTCCCTACGCTTGAAAATATAGTTACCTTATATGTTTTTATTGCTCATATCCAAACTTAGGATATTCTGATTAAGTGTCTCTCATGGCGTACTTATAGGAAATTGTAAAAGTGTATGATGCTAAGTTATGATATTATTGTAACTGTTGAATTTGGACTATGGTTCTCCTTGTGTTACGGTATTTCTTTCCATTATTCTGACTTTGCCCAAATTCGTATGTGTGGTTTTGAGTCCATATAACATTATGAATTTGATATGTTTACGGAAATAGAGAATACTAAGAACAAATGTGAAGCTAGTGACAATATGCTTACGCAACTTATTATGCTTGTTGGAATGATGCATACCTTGTTAAATGGACTGAACCTTGTGGATGGCTTTGGTATTTAATTTCATGATGCATTATATGATATGAATCTAATTACATAATTGATTTTTTTGACGATGATAGACAGTTTGGGTTACCAGCTTATCCCTAAGTGACTTATAATATGGGACTTATCAAGTAATGGGATTTGCATATGAACATAGCAAAGAACATATGGTGATTGAAATTAATGCGTATTGTGGAATGTATGAATTCTGTGTCTAGGAAAACGAAATCTATTATACTTCTGTATTTAAGAATTGTATGTTCTGTATTTGGGCATTAACACTGTGGAACTTATTGATGGGGAAATATTGAAATGATAGACCGTACCTACTGAGGATTTTCTATCTTACATATTCTGCAATGGACTCGTGTAATCTTATCTTCCTTATCGCAATAAGTGTGGGATTACCCTGTGAATTGTTCGAACCAAAGTATGTAAATATTTATGAAAGAATTGAACAATAATGTGAGACTGAGATTTCTACTTTATCATATGGCAAAACAAGTTCGGAGGACCAAACTTATTTAAGGGGGGGTGAGTGTAATAACCCGACCCTCATATCTGTTTCTAGTATATTTTCGATCTGTTATTCAGTGTATTTACTTGCTTTCTGCGAAAAGTGATTTTATATCTGTGGCATTTTTATTACTGTATTTGGAACCTCCCTATTTTATTTTGGGCTATTGATTGTGGTGGTAATATGATGGTAAAGTAAGATTTGATCAAAAACTTTAATTCGAATAATTCGTTTACGACCAACCGTCACTCTTTTGCCCTTTTCTTGTTCCACAGTAGGAATTTGGATGTGAGGTTAGAACCATTGGAAAGCTTATTTTTGGGGCTTCAATTTGGGCACAAGAATGACCTAAAACGGAGTCCGGATGAGAGAGTTACGCCTGTTTGAAGTTTTCATATCTGTGTTGGAAGCAGGACCGCACGTGCGGGAAATGCGGTACACGTGCGGCGATGTGCGGGGCAGCAGCTCAAAAACGTGATTTTTGAGTCATTTCTTAGATTTTCGTTTCCTTTCTTCTTCTTCCCTCTTCCATGTCCGAAACCCTAGCTCCCAAAACCTTGATTTCCTCCACTTTTCTCAACAAATCAACCATGGATCTTGCATCAAGGATGGAGAATAAGAGGAGATCACCACTTTCTACCGAATGGAATTTCGAAATTTTTGAGGTATGTTGGGGTTCTATTATGGGGTTTAGAGTATGGTTTATGGGTTATGGACCTAGGGTGCCTAATAAATGGGAAGATTTGAAATAAAAAGTAATGGGTTAAGAAGATTTAAAATTTTATTTGAAATTTGTAGATTTCTTAGAAACCCTAGGTTGATTTTTGATGATAATCCATGATTTGGCCCAAATTGATAGTTGAATCATGAAAGTGGTAGGTTGAATTAGATGTGTTCAAGTTTAATTAGAATTTGGTTATGTTTGAAAATTATGTTTAAATTTTGCGATTGAACTTTGTTAAATGCATTGTAAATTATGTTTTAATAAAAGGGAAATTGGGGGAAAAGATTTATTGATAATGTGGATGATATAAATTCGATTATGGAATGTTGAAATGGAATTTAAGAATTCCTTTTGAGATATGTTGAATTGTGATGATTATGTGGGATGGTATTAACTATGTTGATATTAATTTTTGTGACCTAAAATGTGAAGTTTTCATGAATGGGTTTAATCCCAAATCATTTTACTAAATATTTGTGGGCTTGCTTAGTTATTAAACCAAGAGAATGATTTAATAGGATTTCTTATGGGGATGGGGAAATGTTTGGTTTTTGGTGAAAACACTAGAAATTTAAGGAGTTCTGGGGAACATGGAAATGTTCATAAAAATCCTTTCTTTCTTTGAATAGAAGATGAATGTGTGTAAATTCCATAATGTGTTTTGTAAGACCAGTAATCTTATATATATATATATATTGAGTTGGAGAAGTAGGTTTGAAACTTCATGCTGCAAAATATTGTTTGCTCTGTTTTACATGCTTAACCCTCTGGTATTTCTGGAATTTGTGCGGGATACGGCTCCTTAGAGACGGATACGGCAGAAGAATAGAAAGAGGAGAGAGCAAGAAGAGAACCTGGCCTTCGACTTCAATCTGACTTGGTTGTAGAGCATCGATCGATCTGCAAAGCTTGATCTGCGAAGTTGATCGATCTGCGAAGTCGATCTACTGTGCTCCTGCGTCTTCCCCTTTAATCTCGATCTCCATCTCCATCTCCATCTCCATTCTTCTCGTCTCTTCGTCATTCTCTCTCTCTCCCTCTCTCCCTCTCTTTTCTTTTTTAATCAGTCTCTCTCCGTCCCTTCTTTTTAATATAATTTGAATTATATGTAATATAAACTATATTATTATAATATTATTCATATTATATAATATTATTTATTCAAAAAAATATTATATAATATAAGATATCATAAATAGCGTAACTTTTATGTCTAAAATTAAAATAATTTATTTCATCATATATAATATAATTTATTTTATGTCTAAAATATAATTTTTATTTATTATTTATTTGTTATTTTTTTTAATAAAATTTGTTATTCCGTAAACTTTTTAAACTCATCTTCATATAATAAATACATTTAAAAATAACTATTTAACGTATCCCCGTACTCGTATCCTAATTTGGATCCATATCCACGTATCCTTAATTTTTAATTTTAAAGTGCGCAACCCTTAGATGCACACCCGTACCCGATACCCGCACCCGAGTCCGTGTAACGTAGATCATAGTGTAAGAATTCCTATAGAAGAGAAATATAATGAACCAAGATTCACATGAAAGTGTGAAGACTATGAAAGTATAGGACACTGGT